CTGCGGCAGCCCAGGTGGCCAGGTCGCGCGCCCAGGCGCAGGCCGAGGGCTCGCCCGGGCCTTTGTTGGCAGCCGGAGCTGCCTCCGCACACGCTGGAGAGGATTAAAGCCAGATGTGGCGGCGGGGTGCGAGCCAGGCGCTCAGAGCTGGGACCCGGGACCGCGGCGCCGCTCCAGACCTCGCGGTGACATTAAATGAAGGGAGGGGGTCCCGAGTTATATAGGCTGCGCAGCGGCGCCCCTAAGTGACAGCCGGGCGGGCCACTGGCGGGCGCGGCGGGCCGTGCGGGGCGCGCAGTGGCCGGCGGCGCCGCAGCCGGCGGCCAATGGCTGGCGGGGTTGCGGGCGGGGCCGGGGGCGGGGCGGCCGCGACTCCAGCGGCGCGGGCGGAGCCGCGCGGGGAGGGCGGGGCGGCCGGCGGCGGCAGGGGCAGCGGCGGCCACAGCAGCTCGGCCGGCGGTAGCGGGAGAACTGCCGACGCCAGCGGCGGGTGAGGGGCTCCTGGCGGCGGCGGCGCGCGGGCGGCCTGGGGGAGCGCAGGGCGGCTGCGCGGAGGGGCGCGGGATGGAGGGCGGCGCCGGCGGTGGGCTCTGCGGCGCCCGGGTTGCGGGAGATCCACCTGCTCGTAGCGGAGCCGCCCGCGCCGCGGCCCGGCCGGAGCTTGTGCACGGAGAGCTGCTCGCGCCTGCGGTGCGCGGGGCCAGCGCTTGGCGCGGACTGGGCCTCGGGGGCGGGGCGCGGGCCGGGGCGTCCTCCCCTCGCCGCCCGCCCCGCGCGGACGCCGCAGCAGCCCCTGGTGCCGCGCGCCCTCCCGGTGGCCGGCCGGACGCCTAGTGCGTTCCCGGCGCTCCGCCGCGCGGAGGGGCTAGTCGACTTTGGGGAAAAGTGGAGCAAAGTGTGGGTTTGGGGGGGTTCGGGGGGGAGAGAGAGTTGCCCGCGGGACCCGGAGGCCGGAGAGCCCACGTCCGTCGCCCGCCCGGGAGTCGGCGCCTTCGCGGGGCCGTGGGGCAGGTGGGGCGGTGGCGAGGCGGTCCGGGACGCAGAGGCTGGGGCAGCTCCCGCCGAGGGGGCCGGGACGCGCAGCTGTTGCAGCGGGGAATTTTCATGCACGGTGAAGACCTGATGGTCCAGTGTGAAAGAGCACCCCATACCCCCAGGCCTCAGTTCCGTCCGTAGCGAGAAAGCTGCAAGTAGGACCCTTAGGTTGGGTCTCGGTGATTCCATTGAGTGTGCCAGGTGACATCGCGAAGGCGAGCTTTTATGAGCTGGCAGTGGTACCGCTCGCACGCCCGCTTTTATTTCTCGCAACATTGTTTCTCTGGGACACGTTAATTGCTTACATTCCAAATTGCGAAACATAAGTAGTCACAATGTATGGTTTTAATGCTTTCCATATATTTTGCTGTTGTGTTTTTGCTGTCGGACGAATTCTTTGTAAAAGATAAAGAATGACACAGTCGTTGGTTTGAATGTAGAATCTAAATTTAGAATCAAAGAATATGCGCTTTGTAGTTTATGTTTCTTTTTCTGAATGTTATAGTTTTATTTAAGAGGTTGTCCTGACAAAGGTTTCTTTAACCCACAAATGTAAATGTGAAAACACACTGGAAGATGGCATTATGTAAGCTGTATTAAAGAAAAATGTTGACCCTTTTATAAGTGGAAAACAAGTGAATTTTTCCGTAATTGTGGTATATAAAGTTCTGTGGGCTTACGTCATGGATTTTATTGATTCTGGATATCGTGGATTGTGCCTTTCATTCTTCAGGCACCTCTGTCCTGTCTGTGGGATGCTGATTAAGGAATATGCCAAATGTTTAGCAAAGTGTTCTCAGCCATGGACCATACTGAATCGTTCAGAGAACACTCTAAAATAAAATAAAGGTTTTGTATCCAGTAATAAAATGCAAGACTGCAGCCCTTAAAGGACTGTTATAAAAACAGATTTCAGTCGAGGTCTAGAGTTGAAAGTTCCATTTATCTTTGGGAAGGTGAAGAAATGACTAGTAATTTTAGACACTGCCTTTTTTTGTTGTTGTTAAAGATTAAAATGTGTTAAGTGATAGTCTCAGAGAATATTAAGGTGCTAGATTAATATTTTTACAAATATGGACACTAATAAAAATGTGGGTTACTTGTGTCTTAGAAGCCAGCCTGTGAACTGCATCTCATGATTTAAGAGCATGTAGATCCTTGGTTTTACTCTTGTCTGGAGACTTCATTCACTTGTGTTTTGCAGTTAAACATATTTGGAAACCCTAATTAAAAATGTATGACTACATTCTTACTTTGTAAAACACTCTTGTATTTTTCTTGCAAAATTTCAGGGCTTATTAGTAGAATTCATTGTAGGTATCTTCTCTAAACAACATTGTAAGTATCTTCTTTAAATATTGGATCCAGAGTTTAATAACTTTCAGGATCCAAAATTTAATTTTCCTTATGTTTTCCTTTATTATGAGTAGTATATCAATAGTCCACTTTGATTTTAGAGTTCATTTACTTTTACTTGTCTCTATGCATTTATACTGAATCTTACCATATAGGCTTTATTTGTATTTAATAAAACTTTTAAAATATCCTTTATTTTATGATTCTGTGCTTCTGTATTTCCCCATTATTATTAATTGAATGTTTACTCTATATACTTTTTAGATCCTTTACTAGATCAAATTTTTTTCTGAAGATCAGGCTAAGTATATAGCAACTGAAAGTTATAAGCATTTTTATATAATGCCGCACCAGGATTAAAATTTCAAATTGTAAAATTCACTGGGTTATGACCTCTATTTTTATAATCAGAATTCATTATTAGATGCTTATTGATTTAAGACAATATCGTCAACACTTTATGGAGTTTAGTTAAAATTATAGGATTTTGCTGTGAAGATTTTAATTCTCAACTGTAGATACGGGCATGTTTGATGTTAACTTGTCTTAACATAGAAGGTGAATAAATGTGGTCTTAGGAAACAATGGTGGCTTTATAAGTGAGAATATTTTTGGAGCTCCTTGTGTTCAGGTAGTAAGAGAGGTTAGGTGCTTCTAGAATATTATATGGAAGTTAGAACTGCTGGCCAAGGAGAGTTACCAGGCATGCTTTGGTGGAGGATTGGTGGGGGAGGGATTCGCCAAAGGCTACAGGAAATGAGAAATTTGTGTAAAGTTGAATGTTTAGACTTTGAAAATTTCTATGAATTTTGCAATTTAATTCATAATAGATCTGTGTTTGTTATGGAATATAAAAAATTTTTAAATTTACACTTACTGTTGGGTGTAATTGATATTCCAGGAAGATTCTCCAGTTTAACCTGAGACTTGGAGTATCCCTGGCACTTCTCTTCATACTGCCATGGTACAGGTGGCCTAATTTGAGAGGGAAACGGTGGTAGATGAGAGCTTGGACTGTGGAGTCTGCAAATTAGGGTTCTCTCTCTGGGTTCATTTCCTCATGTGTAGAATAGAGTTAATAATGCCTACCTCATAGGATTTTGTGAAGATTTAAACATATTGTAGACCCAGCACCTAGGAAACATTTAATGAGCTGTAGTGGCTATCATCATCATTATTATTAATACTATGCCCCTATGATCTTTCTTTTCTAGTGGAGATTTCTAGTAATGTTCAGTGTTAAGAAGTAGCTGAGGTGGTAGTTTCTGAATTGGCTTCAAATGGCAGCTTTAATCAGCCGTACTCTTCCACTGAGAGAATTGGCCCTTGGGATCAGTAGATACTTTTGGAAGTACATTAACTCACCCCACTGGAGTGTCATTTAGTATATTGCCGAGTGCATCTTGGCCTATCCCTGAGGCCACCAGGAATCAATGCACATCTGGGAGGGCCTGACGCACTCCCAGGGAACGAGACTGACTACAGACTGAACCAGTGGCTGGCAGTGTTTTTTTAAATACAGTTAACATTTATTGAGAACCTATTGTTTGCCAGGCACTATGCTTAAGTACTTCTAATAACTTCATTTCTTTCCATTTTCCCAACAGCTTTGTTGGGAAATTCCCCAGATTTCCTGAGTTGAAGCAATGCAGAGTGATAGGTCCTTGGTCATACAGTATTCTACATGAATTGCTGCATTTTCTTTTTTCTTTTTTTCTTTTCCTTTCCTCTCCTTCCCTTCCCTTTCCCTTTCCCTTTCCCGTCCCTTTTTTTTTTTTTGAGATGAAGTCTTGCTGTATCCCCCAGGCTAGTCTCAAACTCCTGGGCTCAAGTGATTCTCCAACTTTAGCCTTCAGAGTAGCTGGGACTAAGAGCTTGAGGCACTGTACCTGGCTGATTGCTGCATTTTCTAAATGCTTAAATATTCCCAGCTTATACCCTGAGAATACATTAATCACCGGAAAAACTACGTTTATTTTATGATGATGATAAGTAGCAATAATAACTGTAACCTCTTTATTTTTTATGATAATATGTGAAAGAGCAGACAGGTTGTTTTCTCATTTTGTGGTTGAAACCTCGGGAACTAGATAAGTGACATGCCCGCATAAGTCATGTAAGTAATGACAGGGCTGGGTCTAGGACTCAGTCAGGTCTTTTGACCCTTATGTATTGTAGTCTGTCAGTTTTCTTACCTTTTTTTTTTTTTTTAAACATTACCTATTATTGTGCAATAGGAAACCTGAGGAGAGTGAAGATTATGTTACTCAGGAACCATTGTGTGATCATTAAAGTTCTCATCTTGGAATCTGTGAGCCCCACAACTTCTCTGTTTATATAACTAACCATAACTTTCTTTTCACAGACAAAATAAAAGCAGTGAGGAAGGAATATAGTTTAAACCTTTTTTCCCTGGAGGAGAAGGACCATATAATTCTAGCGTATTACATGAGTAGATGTAGGGATAATCTCTATAGATACAGTTTAGCCCTGCCCAAAGTCTGTTTAGAATGGTGAATAAAAATGAAGATTCTTACATTTTGCATCGCTGAACAGAATTTTTCTTTCTCTTTCCCCCCTGAATAGGAAGAAAAAGGCCTGAGACATCAGCATATGAAGACTGTGAAGACAATCCCAATTGTGAATGGTACCACTGCTGGGCTCCTTCTGCAGAGCATCTGAAATGAACCTTTCTTATTGATTGTTTTTACTGGCCTAGAATCAGGAGTACTGGATTTTGTTGACTTCTGGGTAAAAAGAAAACAGTCCTGGTTATCATCACAAACATATGAATCAGTGTGATGGTGAAATGAGATGAGGCTCCGAAATGGAACTGTAGCCACTGCTTTAGCATTTATCACTTCGTTCCTTACTTTATCTTGGTATACTACATGGCAAAATGGGAAAGGTAAGGAAAATGTCTCTGAAAATATGCCTGAAATGTAGTAGGCTTTTTGTTTTGTAAAGGTGCATAAATGCCTAGGTTAAATACCCTAGCAATCTGCATTCTGCATGCTATCTGCTGGCAGTTTCTTTCTTACCCAAAAATGAAACAGTGTTCTTGGACAGAGGAGACAGGATTTCTAATTACAATGGTATAATGGGGTTTGTTTTCAGTTTCTTATAATTGCACTTGGAGAAACAGATATATGACAGCCAAGTTGAATAATAAAGACTTTTGTTTTGGCATTTTCATTTTTTTACTAAACATAATAAGTGTTTAATAAGCTTTCTTGTACTGAGTGTTGTATAAAACACTTAAAAGGACACAATTAGTGCCTTCATGAAATTTACATGCTAATTATGCTAGTGATTTGGTGCTATGTAGTTAATGATTTAGACTGCATGCATTGACAGATTGCTCCTTAGGCAACAGTATTTAAGAAGGGGTGAGGAGAAATTCTGATTGGAATTTTAAAAAAACATTTAAAATTATGTTTAGGCTATCGAACTGTGTTTTAAAGGAAAGTTACGTGTTCATTGATTAGAATTATATTGAGGGATAATGCATTTCTTTGCTTTTTTTGGAAGAGAAAATATTTGGAATAAATTCCCACCCACACTTTTTTTACCTGTAGCCTTTCTTTTCTGTTAATTTAAGGAATGTTGATGGTGAGAAGGATGGAGGTGTTGAGATGATCGCGTATTTGGTTTGTTAGAGTCACGTTAGAGTAGTCATCATCACCTGGGCTATTTGAAGATGCTATTGCTGACATTATTTTGTTGACTAAATATGAAGACAGCTGAAAAGATTGTTTCATGACCTCATTTTTTTCTGACTTGTGTTTATATCTATGTGTATATATACATATTAAATATGTATATATCTGTGTGGACATATATATGTATAAAATAAGCTGATATAAGTAAAAACATATGCTTCTGTGCTTTAGCAAGTATGATATTCTTTTCCCACTTTTTGTCTTTCTGTGAATTAGGTTCTAATTTTGGGGGGAACTCTTGGTGAGAAATGAATTAAAACCCTGTTAAAGACCTATTTTCTTTGTGTACAAATATATAAATTTTAGATTTCATATGTTTTAATTGTACCAAATGAGAAGACTTAATGAGGAAGAACTTTGAATAGTTAATTTAATCAAACTATTGAATGTCCCTGACATGAACAAAACAAAGAGGCATTAAAAGTCTGCTTATTAAGTAATAGAATTGCTCCATAAGGAAGGTATATGGTGTTTTTTTTGGTCAGGAAACTTATCTATTCAGAGAATTATAGTAATGAAGAAACTTGATCCTTTTTACTGTGTCTTATTTAAGAGATTAAAAGTCTTGGAATCTCCAGTTTTCTTGTTTCTATGCAAAGGCATTATTGTTATTTTATGAATCTGTCTTTAGAATCAAAATGAATTAAAGATATAAAGTTTCTTTTTTTTTAATCCTTTGTGGGAGAAAAAGAACAAAGTTTCTTTCACCAGGTAGTGTTAGGTACACATATACAATGTCTGTTCTTTTTGATCATCACTCTTTGAACAGCTCTGTAATCCTGTGCAAACTTTTCTGCTCTTTCTGCTTAATATTTTGTCCAGACTGTTTCAGGTATCAGCAAAAATTTCTGGTTATGGTTATGTAAAATCTCTGTGTTTAAATTTTGTTGTTTATGCATCCACTCTAACTGTTGAGCATTTGGATTCTTTCTAGATAGCTCTGACGGTCAGACATCCTGGATTTTCCAAGGCAGACCTGATTTCAGATATGTAATTCCAGTATACCCATAAATCATGTGCTCTGAGTTTTTATTTTGAAACTATGGTTTCCATAATCTTTGACATTGCTAGATTAATAGCTTTTAGTTTTCATTCATTCATTGGTCCCTTACCTGTACCTATCCTGTGCCTAGCACTGTATTATGTGCTATGAATAAGAAAAGAAATAAGAAATTTCATGCCTTTGAGCAGCTCAGGGACTGGTTGGGAAAGATTCATGTAAACAAATGTGATACCATCAGATAGAATGGGATAGAAATAATAATAGAGTGCTTGTCTTGTTATAAGCATATTACATGTATTAGCTCATTTAATCCTCATAACAACCCTGGGAGGTATTATTACCTATTTTCTGTAGATGGGGAAACCAAAGCAAAGTGGTTGAGAAACTTACCAGGGTCATTTATTAAATGGTAGAGTTGAAGTTTGAACTCAGGCAGGCTAATTCAAGAACTTATGCTCTTAGCTATTGCTCTACTGCCCGGAAGAGCAAAGACAGAGGCTACTAATTCTTCATGTGCTTCACAGAGGATGTAGAATGTGAGGGATGAATATGAAGGCCATGCCAGGCAAGTAGGGGACAGTGGGCATATCAGGTACAGGGAACTGCATGTGCAGCTACAAGTTCTGAAAGGGAGTAGAGGATTTATGCTTTGGAATTCTGAGATGCTCATTATGACCAGCACATAGGATTCCTAGGCTGTCTCAAGGTTTAGCAGGTAATCACAGTACAGTTCCTAGAAGTACTAGTTTGTCATAAGCTTCATTCACCACTTGGAAGAATACAGGAGCTGGTCTGTGGGATTGGCATAGGTTGGGAGGATGTCTGGAGTCCTGCCAGGGAAGCTGAGGTACAGGGCAGGGTACCCGTCTCAGCAGGGTATATAGGATTCCCATATAAAAATAAGGCAGAATTCCAATTATGTGGGATGGAAAGGTTGAGAAAGTTGTAGGCAGGGGTTGTGAGAGTGAGGCAAGAGTGATTACATGTCTTACTTGCCAGTGGGAGCAGGGCTCCTAATGAATCTCCTACTCTGGTCAGCACAATCCAGAAACTGAGCAAAACTGATGAAGCAGTCATAGATCTCTGTTCATAGGGACAGAGACTGATGTATTTATAGTTCCTGATCCAGAACTTGGTGCTTAGTAAACATTAACAGACATTTGTTAGATAAACGATTCAGCAAAAATATATTTAAAATTTTTTAAAATGGCTTTATTGATATGTAATTTACATGCTATACAATTCACCCATTTAAAGTGTACAATTCAGTGATTTTTGGTATATTCACAAATGAATGCATCCATCACCACAGTCAATTTTAGAGCATTTTCATCACCTCAAAAAGAAATCCTGTACCCTTTTGCTATTACTGTCCTAGTCACCACATCCCTCCCCTCCTCCCCTCCTTGTGATTAGGCAACCACTAATCTTTCTGTCTCTATAGATTTCCCTGTTCTGGGTTTTCATATAAATGGGATCGTATAGTATGTAGTCTTTTGTGACTGGCTTCTTTCACTTAGCAGGATGTTTTCAAAGTTCATCCATGTTGTGCTGTATGTCAGTGCTTCAGTCCTTCTTATGGGGGAATAATGATCCCTTGTATGGATATACTACATTTGTTCATCCATTCATCCATTGATGGAGATTGGGTTGTTTCTACCTTTTGGTTATTATGAATAATGCTGCTGTAAACATTCATGTACATGTTTTTATGTGGACATATGTTTTCATTTCTCTTGGCTGTTTAGGAGTGAAACTGCTGGGTCATATCATAACTCTATGTTTAATCACTTGAGGAACTGCCAGATTGTTTTCCAAAGTGCTGGACCATTATACATTTTTATTTCATTGTTTTACTTCAGTCTATTTGTGTCTTTCAATCTAGTGTGTCTCCTTTAGACAACATATGGTTGGATCATGCTTTTTAAAATCCAATTTGACAGTCTCTGTCTTTTGATTGGGTTGTTTATTCATTCATATTTAATGTTATTGATATAGTTGGATTTGTCATCTTTTTGTTTTTCATATGTCTCATGTCTTTTTTTTAATTTTAATCCACCCATCTGCACACTGATGTCTCGTGTCTTTTTTGTTCCTGTTCCTCCTTTATTGCTTTTTTTTGCATTTATTGAATTCTAAGGTAGCATTTTAATTCCATTAATGATTTTTTTCACTATTTTTAAAGTATTTTTAGTAGTGTCTCAACTTGTCAGAATCAACTTTAGATTTATAGTAGCTATATAAACCTAGTAACTCTATAATTCTAGCAATATATAGAAATGTTACTCCTATATAGTTCTATTCCCTTTTACCTTTTTCTGTGGTATTATTGTTATATATACTGCATCTATTGTTACAAACCAAACAATGTATTGTTATATTATTATTTTATAGATTTTATTATGTCATTATTTCCTTATCCCATTACAGTTTTATTTCTACCCACCTCCTTTGTGTTGTTATTGGCAATTATATGACTGATGTATTTCCATATGATATAGACCCAGCAATACATTATATACATATTATTTTATATAATTGCTTTTAAAATCAATTAACAGAAAGAAGAAAAAATATACTTACCAGTATCCGTTACATAATTACTGTTGCTCTTTGTGTGGATTTGATTCACTGTCTGGGGTTACATCCTTTCAGCCTGAAGAACTTGCTTTAGTATTTTTATAAGGCAGGTCTGCAAACAGCGAATTCCCTCAGTTTTTATTTTGGTATGTCTTTATTTCACCTTTGTTTTGGAAAGATAGTTTTTCTGGACATGGGATTCTTGGTTGTTGGGGGTTTTGGTTTTGTTTTGTTTTGTTTTGTTTTTTTAAGACAGATTCTCGCTTTGTTGCCCAGGCTAGAGTGAGTGCCGTGGCATCAGCCTAGCTCAGAGCAACCTCAAACTCCTGGACTCAAGCAATCCTGCCTCAGCCTTCCGAGTAGCTGGGACTACGGCATACACCACCATGCCCGGCTAATTTTTGTTATATAGTTTTAGTTGTCCAGCTAATTTCTTTCTATTTTTAGTAGAGATGGAGTCTCGCTCTTGCTCAGGCTGGTCTCGAACTCCGGACCTCAAGCAATCCTCCTGCCTCAGCCTCCCAGAGTGCTAGGATTACAGGTGTGAGCTACTGCGCCCGGCCCTTGGTTTTGTTTCTGAGCACTGTGTGTTATCCCATTGCC